ACACTGCTTGTCCCGTTTCAGGCGCCCTCTTACCTTCCCGCATAGACCGTAGAGCTTCCCAAAGTCCATGACCAGATGTCTTTGGCCATCGAGCGCAATGCCACGCGTCTCTGGATTGTCAATGTCGGGGACCTCAAGCCTTACGAACGCGAGATTGAGTGGTTCCTCAGCTATGGATATGACAGCTCCGCATGGAACGCGGACAACCTTGATACCTATGTCACTCGATGGGCACAGCGGGACTTCGGACTCGAAGAAACGGACGCGGCTCTTGTATCGAGCATCGTGGCAAATTTGACAAGGTTCAATGCGAGGCGTACGCCTGAGTTGTTGACGGCACAGACCTACAGTCTGGTGTACTATCGCGAGTGTGTTCTTTTATCCTCAAACCTTCCCTCACCGATGCTTACCGAACTGTAGGGCTGAGAGTGTCGCGCAAGCGTGGGACGCCCTCGTCGAAGCTGCGGAGGGCGTGAACGACAAGCTAGCTGACGACTTCAAGCCCGCTTTTTACCAATTGGTGTTGCATCCTGTTCTCGCTAGCGCGAATCTAGGAAAGATGCTGATATCCGCGGGCACGAATGCGCTCCGGGCATCCCAAGCTCGCTTGAGCACAAACAATCTTGCGGACGATGTTCTTGAGAAATTCGATTATGACTATGAACTGGAGACCAGATACCACTCTTTGCTGGATGGCAAATGGAATCAGTGAGTCCTTGCAATGTATGCAGTCATGCTTTTCTGACATAATTTCCCAGCATCATGGACCAGACGCGTATGTTTTCGATTACCTTCTAACCCCAACATAGTTTAATCTGAAGAGATTAGATCTGGGATACTACTACTGGCAACAGCCCATGATGAACACGTACATATCAATCTTTCTTTCACTCTCAAATGCTGAAGCTCTTGACTACAGGATGCCGACAATCACTCGTGTTCAAGGAAAGAAGCAGGCATTGTCCGGCGCAATGCGCCTCGTAGTTGAAAACAATCCAGGAGCATGGTATGTCACTCCGTGAATATCCATACTCACACGGCCTCACCATCCATCTGCAGGCCTGGTGATAACCCAAACCAGTGCGCACAAGGCTACAGCTGTCCTCCACCATCCATCACTATCGATGCCTTCGACGTATTCGGAAACAAATACGTCGACGTCGGCGCAGGTGGACCCAAGGCTTTCACTTTCAACGTATCGACAAACGCCAGCTGGTTGACCGTAGAACCTGCGGGGGGTTCTGTGTCCGCGGACAGTCCGGAGTCGAGAGTGTTTTTGTCCGTGGACTGGGATCAACTCGAAGCAGGGAGCACATCCGCTGTAGCGACCTTCAAGAGTCTGGATGAGGACCAACACAGCTTGTCTGTCGGCGTGACTGTAGTGGCATCGAACACAAAGCCCTCCGTTCCAGCTGACTTCACCGGTGAGTGTAGTCGTTTATCGAAGGGGTGGGAAGATCTGAATGGTTGGTAGGATTTGTGGAAAGTGGGGGCGTAGTTTCGTTTGAAGCGGCGCACGCTGCTCGCAATACTTCCGTGGATGAGATTACTTGGAAGGAGCTTCCAGGTGCTGGTCGCACTCACTCGGGCGTGACGCCTTGGCCTCGCGGGGATGCCAACTTCACTGTCGGAACTGGACCTTCGCTGTAAGTCCCATCGGGTATGCCTTCTGTGTCGTAGCTAACGTGTTGAAGGGAATATGATTTCTTCAGCGTGAACGACGGAGTCAATGCTACTGCCCATGTCTATGTGTCGCCTTCGCTCAACGGTCTAGGACGTGACCAACCGCTAGGGCTCGGCATCCAGCTCGATGCTTCGGTCAACACCACGTACTTTATGCCGGTATCAGCGCCTGGGACGCTGCCGTCTGTATGGACCCAGTTTGTAGCCAATGCCAGTGTGGAGATAAAGGTGCCTTTCGGCGCAATTGAAGCTGGCGAGCACACATTCAAGTTGTGGATGGTCGAACCGGCGGTGGTAGTGCAGAAAGTGGTCATTGGTGAGTGCAGGCTTTGACTCGTTGAGGTTATGACTGAGTGACACGCAATGAAGATCTTGGGGGACTTAAGCCAAGCTATCTTGGGCCGCCAGAGAGCAAGTACCAATACGGTGTCTAGTTCAATTGTAAATCCCAGATTATCCGTGTTAAATATGGGTACAGCGAAGGAAAGCAAGAAAGCATGATTACTACGGGTTATAAGGATTATGAGCTGACAACGCTAATGTCGTTAATAAGGTAAGAAGTCCGAACGAAAGTGCTAAAGGCGCCTGAAAGAAATTGCTATCGACCCACCGACTCTATTGGCGGACCACTCGTACCAGAATGTACGACACGGTGATCAGTTGTGGGGCTTTCCAAATACTCGTACGGTGTTCTTGCCCGTTTGAAGCGCCGAGCTTGGTCGGGGAATGGCCGTTGGCATCTTGCGCTTAATGGCTGGTCGAACCGTGTCGGACTTGGGTTGTGGACCTGCCACACGAACTGTATTCTCCTTGGTGGTGGCTTGGGAAGCACCGGCTATCTTCTGCTTCTGCAGTATTCTCCTTGGATTCCCGGCCGGCGTTACGGGTTGAGGTATAGATGGCGCCATGGGTGTTGAGGGTGTCCTGATCTTCGAAGGAAGCGGAGGGAGCCGAGGCTTACGGCAAGCGACGCATCCGCGACGGAACTCAGACGCAGTACGCCGATGTTGAGAGCAAGTAATGGAAGACGTGGATGATGGTGGTCTGGGCGGGACGTTCATGGCCGAAGCAGCGATTGCGTTTCCTTCGGCGGCGCGCATCTCGCTCCAGTAATCCCTAGAGATCCATTTGATTCTCTTGACGTCGTCGTGTTTCGCCCATGCGGAACTTTGAGTACCAGCCTTGGAAAGTTCATATGCGAGATGGGCGAGATTCTCCTCTGAATAGCGTTCTGTGGCCGGCAGAAGACGCCAGTCGCGCAAGGCTGCGAGAACGAATGGAGCGAATGAGGCGGATCCAATCGATTTGCAGAGGGAGAAAATGAAGGAAGGCGTCACAAGCGAGTTGTTGTGCGTATTGGCGTGCAAGAAGGATAAAAGCCTGTCGAAAAGGTCCTCCTGGGACCCGTCATCCTCTAAGAGGGGAGCCGTGTCGCCTATCGTAGCTTTCCTGATGTCATGGATTTCGAAAGAGAGGTCATGCATAGTTGGCGGCGGACATTAAAGTTGGAAGACAACGATGGCGAGCTTGTTGAGGCGTGGGAATGTCATCCGGTCCGGCTCTCCGAAATTGATGATCACACTCGCTATTTTTAAACATCGACAACGGTTACTATTCGACTTCTTCAATCTTGCTTTCAAATTTCTCTCTGCTTTCAAGGGGCCCAGTATTTATTTTGTGACATAGAATTATATCTCTGGTACAGTCCCTTTTCTATGTGGCCCGTGTTTATGGCACTCAAACTGGCTCTACAGCATGTTTTTTCCGCGCCAAATGCCAAGTGCTGACAGACAGTCCAAGGGCAGGCGTGCTGTCTCAGTCCACAAATACGATGGGCCATACGACGGGAAACCGCATTTCATCCCCGACGACATACTGCGCGAAATATTTGAACTTTGTGTTCTAGGAGCCCTGGCGGACGAGCCTGATCATCAAAGCTTCGGTGAAACGGACTGTCGCTACACCAACAAAGCGCCATGGACGCTCACACAGGTTTCTCGACAGTGGCGTGCAGTCTCGATATCTTTGTCATCTATATGGGCGACAATAACCGTGGATGCGGATTCCTACTTTCCAGGACAGTTCGGCGGACGCGATCCTCACGGCGAGCGCAGATTCCAACAGTTTTTGGAGCGCTCAAAGGGTGCGGACTTGCGCATCAGCTGGACGAAGATGGAGTATCTGAATGGTCCTGCCTCCGAGGTAGACAACATTCTTTTTGAGATGCTGCTTTCGGAGGCGAAGCGATGGCGCTTTGTGAAGATGGATGCAAATTACGACTTGTTGGACAAATTGAGCAACACTACGTTTCCGCGGTTATTGTCCTTTAGCTGCCATGCGACCTCGTCGTTCACGATAGACGCGCCGGCTCTCCAGCACGCCGAACTCTTCGATTTTAGCATCGAGAACCCCTCGGATACGGCGCTTCCATGGACAGCGCTCAAGACGTACCGCTGCACGGACTCGGACTTACTCCCCATCACCCGCCTGTCCAGTGTGACAGACCTCACAATAACTGCCCGCTCGCCCGACTCTTGGTCTTTGCAAAACCACGAGCAAGCCTCCGTAGACCCCTTCGTATGTCACGTACGTCGGCTCACAGTCACAGACAAAGAGGTCCGGTACATGGGCGAACAGACGCTCGTTGAAAGCCTTCTTTCCAATTTTTCGTTCACGGCGTTAACTACATTCGTGCTCAACACCACCGCATCTCCTTTTGCCTCAATGATCACCATCCCAATAGCGCTTCCATGCGTTACCAAGTTTGCCCTTTCAAGTGGGATCAGTGTTTCCATAGAAGACTTCAACACCTTACTCCATGCTATGCCTGCACTGAACATCCTATGGCTACAAGCTGGGCAGACTACCCTCCGCTGCCTCGAGACATTGCGCATAATGGACATTGCTCCTCGTCTTACCGCCCTCTACATCGATCCTGAACTTACCCTCGAAAGTGACCACCAAGCAATACTTGAATCCATTGATATCGTCGTTTCGAGCCGTATCAGCGTCCTTACAGATGTTTTCTGTGTCAAAATCTCAGAGAGATATTGGTGGGCCGAGCTGGAAGAGCATGCAACAGTTCGTGAAAAGTCCAGCACACGTGAAGCTGGTGTACGAGTTAGGTTCGAGGAGGTGGTCAAGGAAGAGATATTCGTTTGATGTTCAATTACCCATAGTAATTAACTTCTATTAACAATGACATTGTAACTTCCTCAAGAGCGTCACATGGGAGATTGCCTCGAGGCTCGCTGCTCCGAGTAAACGAGTTACGCGGAGATGAACTTCGAATCTAGCGTCAAGGCGTGTGTGAGCTTGTCAGAATTTAGGCGCAGTGGTAGCGCGCGGGGCTCATAACCCTGAGGTCACTTGATCGATACAAGTTGTTGCTAACCAGCTAGATCTGTAAAAATGCGCTGCAAACCTGCTCTGAGATCAGAGAAAGTGTCGTTTTTGAATCCGGAAGGTTCAACATCGAGTACATGGAAATGTTTAATGCGGCCTGCTGGCTCTTGTAGACTTGTAGTCACAGATTTTAACTTTGATCAAATAACAGACAGAAGATAGCACAAGGCTGGTAGGGATTTGAATGTGAGCACTGAGTTAGACCCATCAAAGTGTGCTGTGCTACGCGGACAGAAGGCACAGGGCTGGTCAAACACAGCAACGATATGTGTTTCCTTGGGATACGCGGGCGTTTAGGCCGGGCTATAGCAGGGTATAGCACAGGATCGCCCTCGTCAGGCACGTAAAGACTTCCGACTGCTTTCGTTCCGCGACGCCGTTCTGTTCTACATACACGCTACTGACACGAAAAATATGTTAGTTGTCCCATATGTACATTTCAATTCAGGAAGATACAACCCTCGATGCGAACGAAGAGGTGCCACTCACGGAAGTGCTATTGATACCGCTGATCCATCAATTTATCCGATCCTTGTAAAGACCAGGACCTATCCGCCTTGAGATACCCTACATGCTCCGCGCATGCGCTTGAATGAGTAGACGACTTGTAACAACGTCTAACTACCCCCGAGCTAGCGAGCACTGAGTTGCAACAACGATGATTTCTCGGAGTGTTTTCTTTGTCAGATACCAACATACTCTAGCGTGCACAGTCACTACTACATGATTTTCGGGAGTTAGAGGCTTTTGCGCTGACTTGCAAACAACACCCGCTACCTGGAACAGGTTACACAGCATTGTTCCGCGCCATAGCCGCCTAATGTTTGCCAATTAGTCTGGACCTACATATTTATCGTATAAAGACCCTCTGAATTCTCGTCAGACGCAACTACTGTGCCCCTACTCCTTCTTTCATACCTTTTGATTCTCCCTCTACGCTATGCTTGTCCCCGCCCTTATGATAGCAAGTGCACTCTTCGATCTTGCTACGGCTCACCCGCATCCTGCCAACTCGAGGGCTGAATCTATATGGGATGGTCTTCACGCAGGCTACGAGCGTTATTCGGAAAGAATGTCCACAGAGCATCCTGGGATGCTCCAGGACCTCGCTAAGAACGGACAACGTACGTGCTTTGTCAAGCAGCGACGTGAAACTGACACCGCGATCGTTCGGAACAGATCCGGACTTTGTCGTTCTTGGTTGCGCAGATAGTCGGTGTGTGCCTTCACCTTGCTTGTATCGCAAGAGTCAGTGGATTGAATCAATAACCTAGTGTCGCCCCCGATGTCATCTTTGATACTCTCCCCGGAACTATTTTCGCTGAACGTAGCATTGCGAACATCTACACGGCCGATGACATTAACTCGTAGGACACCCCCTTCATCCAGCCAATTCTTTGAATCTCACCATCATAAAGTGTGGCTACGCTCTACTATGGTATCAGTGCGCTCAAAGCCACCAATATCATTGTGATAGGCCATTACGGGTGTGGTGGCGTTGCTGCCGCCATTTCGCCCCGCGCGGATGACTCTCCTCTTGATACTACGCAAACCGTCATGCAGCTGTGGATAGACCCTCTTCGCGAGTTGTACAGGAATTCCGAGCGGTATGTGATCATAGTGGAGGCCCATTGACTTCCCAGGACATTGACTTCTATGTACAGTAAAGAGATTGTTGAATACCGCGACAACTCTCACAACCATCAGGAAAAGTTGGCCATCGATTCTCGTACGCTTTCTTCCTGAATTTGGTTTCATGTGCTAGAATTTTTTGCGTAGCGGTCTGGCGTGCGCTCACTGAAGAGAACGTGAAGCTCAGTGTGGCCAACATTGCCAATAGTCAACTCATTCAAGAAGTTTGTGTCTCCTCGATAGCTGTGGTGCATTTGAATTGACGAATTCTAAGCATTGGGCCAACTCGTCCGCGACTCCCGTCTTTGTCTATGGTCTTGTTTACGACGTGATGGATGGCACTCTAAAGGATCTTGCAGTGACTGTGGGTCCTGAGGGTATCCCGCCACCGTCATCCCCTTTTCTTTGAGGAAATCGGTTTGAATTGCTACAGTTGGCGGCGACGATGGTCACATTCTCAGTGTCTTGGACAGTTAGCTATACGAAGTACAGACTCATTTTGATGATATACATACCTATTGGGGCTTCAAGTTCACCGTCTTTCAAATTTCGATACCTTTACAGTATTTATGTATGCGATACCCTGGACCTTTGGTGCCACCAAAGTCGATGCCTGAAGACAATAAGCATGCAGCTGCTACAAGAGCATACTCAGGCATGTCAACTTGTTGACTTAATCCAAGGTCTACCTCGGGTTAAAGTATTTGAACAATGTCACTTATGTAATTCTTTGTCTGTGTCTACATATGTGTGTTACCACCTTGCCCGCCGGTAGTAAGAGGGATTCCCTTGGAGAAGCAGACTCCAGGCTGCGTATCAACTTTTTTTTTTGATGTTTATCTGCTATTTTATTGACATGCATCGTATAGTACTTACAAGCCGAAGCTGCTTCCGAAGAACGCGTGCCTCAACGACGTGTACAAGTGTACAGTGTACACTGCGCCGGACGCTGCCGGTGGCTGTACGCGTGTAATTGATCGCTTGAACGCGTCTTGGATTACGACCACGACCCTCCGCAAGGATGATACTGCGGGAATGGCTTGTGCTGGTCCTGTTCCCAGTAATCTGGACATTATGCAGCGCTCAAGAACACACAATCACCTCATTTTCGAATCTGCCTGGACGCCTGTTCTTCTTCGATGATTCCGAGGCTGCGCTTTACCTGGATGCCATGGCTGGGACGCTGTACGTTTCTCAGGACGAGGGAAAGAGCTGGGGAAAGGCGTCAAATGTTCCAGAAGGAGAAGCAACTATGGTCATAGAGCATCCATTTGACAATCGGATGGTGCGTCTAGGAGTGTGTTGCGCGTTCGAGCAGCGCCTAAATATCAACAGGCGTTTCTACTCACAAGAGGCAAGCGACACTATCGCACCGATGACCGCGGAAAGTCCTGGCGTGCATTTGACATGCCGTTAGCACCAGCGCTCGTGGCGAAACCGCTATCCTTCCATTCAGATCCCAAGAAGTTTGGCTACATTCTCTACCAAGGGACTAAGTGCGAGCGCATTGGATGGGGCCAATTGTGTCACGACGAGGTGTGCGATGCCACCACCTAGTGTTAACTTGAGCTCAACTATTGCAGACATACTACACCAAGGATGCCTTCGGCGACACACCTCAGCTACTACTCAGCGAAACAACTCGCTGTCAATTTGCGCACAGCAGCTCAGACTTCAAACACGAAGCTCCAGATGATCTTGTATACTGCGTTGCTTACGATACTACCGCAGCCAACAGCGCGCACTCGCTTTCCTCTTCCCGCCTTTTCTCCAGCACCGACTTCTTCGACAAGGACTTCCGCGTGGAGGAACTAGGGATTGGCAAGAACTCCAAGGGCGTCCTGGCCTTCGCAATCGTTAGCAAGTTCGCCATTGTTGCACTCAAAGACCTGTCAAGCAATAGTAATGGGGAGATGCTTCTCTATGTGACCGTCGATACGAAGACGTGGGCTAAAGCACAGTTCCCGAAGGCTTCATCTGCTCAGCTGCGCGAGAACGCGTACACTATTGTCGAGAGCACTACCCACTCGCTGGCCGTTGATGTCGTTCTCCAGGACAAGAGTTCAATCGGCACCTTGTTCGTTTCCAACTCCAACGGCACTTTCTTTGTCGAGAGTCTCCGCGACACCAACCGCAATACTTACGGCTTCGTGGACTACGAGCGTCTATACGGTGTCGACGGTGTAGGGATAGCCAATGTCGTATCAAATGCGGAGGAGGTGGAGGCGCGAGGTGCCACCAAGCTCATCAAGACAGTCGTAACGTTTGACGACGGGAGTTCGTGGCAGCCGCTCTCCTCTGACGGCGGAAACCTTCACCTCCATTCCGTTACCAACCCGCATAACTTCGGACGGGTCTTTTCTTCTCCCGCGCCTGGCCTGGCGATGGGCGTTGGCTCTGTGGGAGACCACTTACTACCTTATGAAGACTGTGACCTCTACCTCACTACGGATGCTGGAGGTTCCTGGAAGCGAGTACGTGAAGATGCACAAAAGTACGAATTTGGCGACTCCGGAAGTGTCATGGTCACAGTCAACGACGAGACCGGTGTTTCCAAGATCAACTATTCTCTCGATTTCGGCAATACATGGAAGGAATACGATGTTGGTCTCAAGTTCCGAGCCAAGGGACTGACAACCGTGCCCGACTCGACCAGCCAGAAGTTTCTACTTCTTGCGCAGGTGGCCAAAGGGGACCAGAAGAACGGCATTGGGCGCTACGTGACAATCTTCCTGGACTTTGCGAAAACACGCACGCGCAAGTGCGGGGATAATGATTTTGAGACCTGGTATGCACGCCCGAGCAATTCAGAGTGTCTGATGGGCCACAAGGTAACGAATGTTTCTCTCACTCCATCGCTTAAGTGCTCAATACATTTACCAGCAATACTACAAGCGCCGCAAAGCAAACGTCGACTGCTATGTTGGAGACAAGTTCTTGGACCCCATTGTTCACGAGGAGAACTGCGCATGTACCGACACCGATTATGAGTGGTGCGTGCGGTTTCCCTCTTCACTCACTGGCGCCTTATTTTGGATTTCAGTGACTTCAATTATGTCCGCGACGGTGATAAGTGTGTACCCGTCGGTCCAGAGCCAATCCCAGCGGGGACGTGTCTACGCCAGGACCAAACTTACATGGGTTCGAGTGGATGGCGGAAGATACCTGGAAACACGTGTACAGGTGGTAACAAAGACGAGAAGGTAAAGAAACCTTGCTCACAAGGTGCGTCTGCTGGTACCATTTAGGCTGTCCATGCTGACACTCGGTCAGCGCAACCTGAAGAAGGCGAGGTAGTTCACCAGTCCTTTGAATTCCAGGCCCGCATTTTGCAGCATTCGTATTTCAAGGATTC